TAGCCGCTGGTGTACTTGGCTATATGCGTTTGTCTATTATTGAATTCGTCTATTATGCCATACGCTACTTTGTCTATTATATGGCTGCACAAAAACGAATTCAAGTTAGTTCATCGACATATTTTTTTTACTGTATTTTCAGCGCAAAGAGAAACTACTTTGAATTAGGCATTCCTACTACTAAGCGAATCCGAACGAGACACTCGTTTGATGTCTATATGTGCCGTCGATCTTGCTACTAAAATCCGTGCAGACAGGAGTAAACACGTGATGACAACACTACAGATTCAAGCAAAGGTACCAAGTCTTAAGTGCAATTTGGAGCATGCAGAATGGGAAAAAGTAAAAAACAATGACTCATAATGAGAAGTGTGTTAGCTTTGTTCATAATCAACAATTTCACGTTCCATTTAGAAGGATTCTTTTCATTTGAAAAATATTGTATTTGATGCTCAACCAGGTGATTTAATCTGTGTGATCGGACCAGTTGGAGCTGGCAAGGTAAATACAAGCTGAACAGAACAAGTCACTTGTTGTTATTTTGTTGACAGAGCTCACTTTTGCAAACACTCTCAGGTGAAATTCCACAATTTGAAGGCAAAGTTCGACTATACGGTTCATTTTGCTATGTGCCGCAAGAACCATGTAAGTCTGTTTTGTTTTTGAATTTAAAAGAATCTTCAATGACAATGCATTTCTTGTGTACTAGGGATCTTTTCTTCAAGTATTATGGATAATATTCTTTTTGGTAAAGAATACGATCGTCGAACATTTCAGCGTGTCGTTTATTCAACTGTGCTTAACTCAGTAATTAGATGATTTCTTCTGTTATTTCTAGTTGATCTTCAAAGGTTGCTATCTATGTCATCGACAGGACTTTGACCAGTTACCAAATGGGCGAAATACGATTGTTGGAGATCAAGGTGTCACGTTATCTGGAGTAAGCTGAATTACTCCGATTAAGACAAAATAGAGTATGTTTATCTTATTTAGGGACAAAAAGCGCGAATTAATTTGGCACGAGCACTTTATCGCGATGCCGACATCTACTTGTTGGATGATCCTCTTTCTGCCTTAGACGCGAAAGTATCCAAACATCTCTTTGAAAAGTATGTTGTCTGATGATGAGGTGTTTCAAGAGAAAGAAAAATCCAAAACTCACACTATCAAAATTTTCAATTTTATCTATGAATAGATCGTTTTTCCTGAAACCAGTCGAAATCATTTACGATCAAAGGGCTTAATTCATCTCGCATGCCGTCGCAGGAGAATAAAGCTCCCTTGTTGCTATGATGACATGTTTCTGCAACAGCTTGATTGAGCTACAGTTCTTTTATCTATTTATCTATAGAAAGTATACAGTGGTGCTGAAAATTGTTAGTACATCTAACAAATGAACTTCTTTCTATAATATCTCAAGCTGCTTTCAAAATATAGAGTTGTAGTTTTCGTTAAAATGTAACCACATTTACTTAGCTATTATCTCTTGTCAACAACATCGTGAGAGAAATGCATGTTTTACTGAAGAAAATTTGGAAACTGCAGAATATCGCCATTGGGCTGTTAAATCGATGAAGTCAATCTTGAAATGCTGTGAAATTTTCACCTAAAATAATGCTTTCCTGTCAATAAATGTTCACTAAAATCTTCAGCACTTGACATTACCATGCGATAGTACAATGGAAGAGAAAAAATGCAGATGTGAGAATGTTCACCAAAATCTTCTTTTCATTACATCTTTGTGCTAGGGCTAATTGATATTTCTCAGTATTGAATCATATGAATTGTTTTTGAAAAATCACTGGGTACTAATTTTTTTAAATATTAGAAAAATGCGGAATTGTCGTTTCCTTGGTTGGACCACTGATAAAAAAGATCAAGCTGTGACTGAACCTTTTTGTTCGTAAACATATGCTGGATGAGCCATGCATGTCTGCTACGGTTTCAGTGACTATAAGCTTCATTGAAATAACCATTTGCAAGCATTAAGAAGTGTATCGAGGTGCGCCTCGGTGATAACATCATTTCGAAAGAGCCTCGGAATGCCTACACACGATTTTTATAGGGTATAGTCAGTCATATTCAATTCTGTGCATTACATATGCAGAATAGCTTTGCTGTGGAAAATAGCATTCAAAAACTCAATGAGATAGAAGTCGTCTTTATGCTAATTAGTACGAACAATACCCATTATCGTTACAGCCGTAGAAAAAAACAAGTGCTTCTCTCAAGGCTAATTCCAATCGGTTCGAATTAATTGAATTCCATCAAGATTACTATTAGAATTCTCACAGTCACTCTAAAGTTGGATTCCGAATTCTAAGATCATCACTCAGAAGAGATAAAACTATTAACTATTATCGTTCCCAAAAAATATGCACTAAATCATTCTTTTTGTTTCAAATCAGTCCCTCTGATGATGCTTTTTTGGCCTAAATACGAACTCATATTTATTTCAAAAAGTTGCATTTTTCTCAGTAGGAGCTATATTGAACAATGGCATTTTTCAACAGAAAAAGAATGCGCCATTAACATTTGAAGAATATGCAAGTGGAAATATTGCTCGGAAATTGTATGGTTTGATGTTTCCTTGTGTTCCATAATGAAGATGATGCAGATGAGCAAATAGACAATTAGCCAAATTATATTTGTTAAAATTAGTGTTGCTTCATAAAGTACTTCGCAAAAGAAAGTTTTTCGTAGTATTGTCCAATTGATTCCTCGACTTGTCGACAAATTAATGACAAATAATCCAAACATTTCTTGCTACACGATATTTATGATCTTTTCCATTGTACAAGTTCTAGACAAATAAGACGATGAGTCGGTTCTATCTGATTTTATTTTTTCAAATGATAATCGTCCATCAATCAGGATTGAGATCGATTAGTTTGAAAACCAGCTCTAACCGTTACCCCTCTATGTAGGTAGTTCAACGGTTTTTAATAAGTAGGGAATTTATCATTAAAAAGAAATGATTTGCAGCATATACTGATTGACGACTCTTTCAAGGATATATCAGTCGAACAATATAGAAATTAATAAGAAAGCAGAAACCTTTTGTTAATACCTAGTGTTCATAAATGATAGCACTAGCAATAGTTTTACTTGTAAAGTTTGGCTTACCCGAATTTCGCCAATAAGACTTTCGCCAACTGGATATTCGCCAATGGCGAAAGTACAGTGGACTCTTGTCAATTGGCGAAAGTCTTATTGGCGAAATTCGGGAATCCCTAAAGTTTTCGATAATAATGAAGAACCCATTTCTACCAGCTGTTTATGATTGAAGTTAAACAATCACTCATTTTCAAAATAGAACTATCAAAGGCTATCTACACAACAAAATATGCGTTCTCGTCACTCATCAAGTACAATTCTTACAACACGCCACCAGAATTATTGTTCTAAACAATGTATGTAGCGAGGTTTGGTAGCCCCGGACCTGATGGTTGATTTTGATGATTGATACACAGTATACTTTTTAACCCATATGTATTCTAGGGTGAGTCAATGGCAATGGGCACGTACACTGAGTTACTCGCCTCATCCTTATCCTTTAGTCGTTTACTCAATGATATACATCAGCATGGACAAGAACAGCAAAAACAGTTGATTGCTCGCAACAGACGACAATCTGTTTTCGGCTCACTTAGCTCGGAGAAAGATGATGAAGATATTTTATCACCATCAATAACTGTTGAATCGATACAAGAGGGTAGTGTCAAATGGCATGTCTATTTTGACTATTTGAGAGCGGGTGTCGGACTTTTTCTTAGTTTTCTTCTTGTCACAGTTGTCTTTTCAGTACATCAAGGTGTGTCAATTTTCAGTAATTGGTGGCTAGCTGAGTGGAGTGATGAAGAGACTTACCGGCATAGTACTTTTAATAGCTGTACTAACATGGACACACTGAATAACACAATACTGAATATGGCTGATAGCGAATGGAATAGGCATCGAAATCAACGATTTTACATCTACTGTGGTACGTCTACTGTTTTTTATTTTTCTCTAATTATAAATGTCTTAAATGTATTTGTAGCTATCTTACTTGTTCTGGCTTGTATTACATTGTTTCGAGTTGTTGCTACAAAGTTTATGTGCTTAAATGCTGGGCGAGTACTTCATAATAGGTATTCAGCTTCAATATCTATTTATAAATATTCTATATTTTTTGTTCGTATGTAGAATGTTTCAAAGACTCGTTCGATGTCCCATTCATTTTTTTGATTCAAACCCTCTGGGTATGTGAATGAAAGAAAAATAAAGTAAATTGGAGAATCATAATCATTCAGATGTTATTATTTGCAGGTCGAATCTTGAATCGTTTCACGAAAGATGTAACAATCATGGACGATTCTTTACCATCTTATTTCTTTGATTTTCTACAAGTAAATAATTCATCAACCTAGTTGCTTGACATGAATGTCGTTGAACAATTTGTTTAGGGTCTTTTTCAAATATTTGGTACAGTGATTCTTGTCGGATGGATTAACCCATGGTCGTTCATATCAGCAGCAATCGCAGCAATTGGTATGTTGCTTGTTCGCATTCGTTTTGCTCAATGTTCCCGTGATTTGAAGCGACTTGAAGGCATCACACGAAGTCCGGTTTACTCCCATTTGACGTCGACAATTCAAGGACTCAAAGTGATTCGGTCCTATCATGCTGAATACTTGAGCTCAAAACTTTTTTTCTCTCATCTTGATGCTAATACACGTGCGAACTATTTGCTGATCACAGTAAACCGCTGGTCTGCCATTCGATTTGATTGGGTTGCACTCATTTTTATTGCATTAGTCACTGTATTGGCTGTAGTTGTGCGCATGACTCGAAACAGTTTGTCGTCGGCCGACATTGCCCTTACACTCTCATATAGTCTAAATCTCATGAGTCTTCTACAATGGACTATTAAGTAAACATCTTTCAAATAATAGCTAAATTTGTTACTAAATGAAAATACTTTATTTAACAGGCAATCGGTGAACCTGGAAACACAAATGACAGCTGTTGAACGGGTACTCGAGTATTGTACTCTCGAACAAGAGCCGTCCGCAGAAGTACCAGCTGATCGACGTCCGCCGCCAAATTGGCCATCAAATGGTTGCATTGTGTTTAACGATGTTTCGATGCGCCATACGTCTGATGCACAGACATCGCTCACTTTAAGTCATATCTCATTCACGATTGACGCTGCTGAAAAAGTTGGTATCGTTGGAAGGACAGGTGCTGGAAAAAGTTCCCTCATTCAAACACTCTTTCGCTTGCATACACTGCTTGATGGTGAAATTAAAATTGATGATATTGACATTGCAACCGTTGGCTTGAACGATTTGCGAAGTCACATTTCGATTATTCCACAAAATCCTTGTCTTTTCACGGGTACTATGCGAAGTAATCTCGATCAATTCGACGAATACACAGATGCTGAAATATGGGATGCACTCGATCAGGTCATATTTCTTTTAGCTTAGTTTGTCTTAGAAGATATAAATATTTTCTTTGTTTGATACAGGTACAACTCAAAAATCTAGTAGCTGAAAATTTACCCAATGGACTTGAGTCAACAATGAGTGAGGGTGGATCTAATTTGAGCGTTGGTCAAAAGCAAATGGTATGCTTGGCACGAGCAATACTTCGAAAGAACAAAATACTTGTTGTCGACGAGGCTACTGCCAATGTTGATATCGCGTGAGTAATTAACTTTGATTAATTGATTTCAAACAATATATTGTCAAGCAAATTTTCATGTGTATAGCACGGACAAACTCATACAGACGGCCATTCGTACCAAGTTCAAAGACTGTACTGTACTCACGGTAGCTCATCGACTGCGTACAGTAATAGACAGTGATCGTATTATGGTAATATATACATGAACAGATAATAGGATGCTTCCATGATGTTGGAAAATTCGTGAAAGAAAAACAGATTTCTACTTGCCAAATTATATCTGAGATTGTACAATCAATTCAATCCGTTCTTCCATCTTGAAGAGAACAGAGTCTACATGAAACTCTTTAGATCATCTCAAGTCTTTTACGTGAAAGAAAATCAGCTAGCATAATCTTACGATAGAATTCCGTTAGGAAGATCTTTGTGTGGACGATGAGTGCTAACAAATATTCAAAAGTGGTGAAACTAGGGTTTCGCTGGTGCGCGCGTGTGGTCAATGTGATTAGGTAGGCGTGAGTCTGCTCTTCACCTACATTCCAGTATAAGCAATCTCATCTATAGAAGTTTTAGACGTCGACATGCTGTTCACTGCCTAGAGAAATAGTTACATAGCCAAAAGTAGAACAAGAATCAGGAAGAATGAAATTTAGAGTGTTCTCTAGAGTTTTTATCTCATATAAAAGCTTAAGCTCATAAACTCTATTAAAATCGCTTTAATTTCGAGATTTGAAATACTATACAGCGCATATTTGAAGCTTTTTCAAGGGTCTAAACAAGGGTAAACGATCGAAAAGTGCTTCGAAACATTTAGATTTCTTAAACTTAAGTTGTTTTAAACAGTTGATTTTACGAAAGTGTTTCATAGCTGCTTAAAGCACAACGCATAAGTTTTTATACAGGTAGAAATCCGATCCAAAGACAATGTGTTTCCGAAAAGTTCCAATGATCTTTGACAATGTTGTAATCGGCACTTTTCCGAAGTCTTTCGACAAAAATCGCGCTAGAATATGTTTTCAAGAATCTCATCGAAACCGCTTGAATATAGCAGTTCTGTCAACTGACAAACTGTCTGTATTCAGATTAAAAAACTTCAGCATTCAGCACCATTAGTTGTCATCGATTACCAAATTTTCGTCCAACATAAATCTTTATATGACTCCGGAAGAGGCAATTGACCACTGCAACTCATTTTTTATTGAAATTTGAGAATTCTTAAAATTTTCGATCACCAAACAGGTTTTGCATTTCGGATGTACTATTCATGTGAAAAACATGTCACACGAAAGTCATATGTAAATTCACTTCGATCAAGAAAATTAAGGGAATTCGTTTAATAGAACCGCTCTGATTTCAACATATCTAGCTGCTCAATGATATAGATCGATTTAATACTAGATTTCTGCAATGGCAAATTCAGTTAAACGTTACATTGAAGTATTACCGAACTCTAATTTGAAGATTGACCGAATTCAAACTAGTTGTAAGGAAGAAATTTTGTGACTCTTTTATGTCCCAATTGTTTTTTAATTGACATCTGCAACTTAAGAAATTTCCATAAGCCTTGATTATTCTCATGTAAAATACGACACACATGGTCCATCTACAGAGTGTCCCAAAAGTCACCTACCAAAAAGAAAATTGCATATCTTCACTGTATTCAAACCAAATGAGCCGATTTTTTTTCTGATGATAGAGAAAACTTCCAAGTTTTTATTTATGTAGCAGCAGCTTATTAACACACTTGAAACCTAGCATTATCTGCTTCAATACTGAATTTCCCTTTTTGCCGGATACTTCTATCAGTAATCGACCACAAAAAAAACTGAAACGTCTCTGAAAACTTATTGGCAAGTTCTGCTTTGTAGAGCTTTCTGTGCCGATTATTTTGGTAAAAGAATTTTCTATTTTCATCAAGCAATGATAGTACTAGAGTCAAAATACTAAAAAACGTCGCATTGCTGCTGCCAGCGCTATTTGACGTTTTCCAGTATTTTGACCTTAGTACCATCATTTCTTGATGAAAATAGAAAATTTCTTTTACCAAAAAGATCAGCAGAAAAAGCTCTACAAAATAGAATCTCGAATACCTTTGCCTTTTTTGTTGACTATCCATAGAAATGCCTTATCAAACGTTAACTGTAGTCGCAAGTATTTCCAGGGCTTTTCTGTACAAGAACAGTTGAGAGAATCTTGTGAAGTTCTTGAGAAGCCAGATAGACTGGCAAAAACTCAAGGATTCAAATAAATTATTAAAAATTTGAGAAAATCTAAGAACATGAAGAGTTTGCATCAGATTACAAAAACCCCAAATCTATCGTTTATCTTTGGCAGAAATCTGACTATTTCTCTTCTAAATGAATGATAATAGCTTTAAGCGATGCTATTCAACTTTTTGCTGATGAATAACAACTTAGAAGTTTTCTCTATCATCAGGAAAAAACTCAGCTCATTTGGTCAGAATACAGTGGAGATATACAATTTTCTTTTTGGTAGGTGACTTTTGGGACACTCTGTATGTATGTTGAGTAAGGAGACAAAAGAGGAGACAATTTGAAAATACGTACACTATAATTCTTTGTGGTCAATCATTATTTCTAGAAATAATTCACAATTTTTGTGAAACTCACATATATTTTCGAAGAAAATAGTGAGTAAACGGAATACCCATTACAGACATCAGTAACTTCTCCTCTCACCCCTCAGACTCTAGCAACCGTGGAAAGAGGAAACCAAAAATTATTAGATATTTTTCCATACTAAGGGAGAAACGGCGCGTGAGTAATATCGGCGTTTAAATCATTCTGAAACTCTGTAGATTCTAACTGTTTAGTCTAAATAGTGCAATTTTAGGCTTTTCACACAGCAAAATGACCCTATTATAGGTTTTAATCAATAGAGTGGTGTTCTTTTTTTTATCTAGTAGAGTCTGATTCGAAGGAACATAGGAAAATCTGTACTGATTGTATTCTAATATCAGGCAAAACTCAGCAGTATATGTCAAAATTTGTCAAAAGAAAGAATAGTGTGTAGGATAACTTACTGATCGACCAAATCAATGCCTATAGCAGACTAATATAGTAGTTAAATCGACAAAATGAAGAGTACATTGATATTCGTCCCTTTCTAAGGGATGTGTCATATATATTAACATTAGGTGAAAAGAAATTAACGTATTGAAGATGTATGTGATAATACACACAAGTTTTTACAGTATGACGTTATTAAATGAAATCAAATAAATTGATAGAAAAGTAATTATAAATGTGAACATTTTCGAAATGATAAAATTTGAGAATGTCCATATCGACTGTAAAAATTGTAATGATTTTTAATTATTCATTTATTTAATATTTTTTAATAATAAATTATTTTTAAAGCTCTGACAATATATCAAGACTTATAATAACCAGAGTTCGTGAGTTCCACATTTGGGCCCCAGATGGGGTCGTACTGACAAGCTTTTTATAAATTTTACTCTACTTGGTCTTCATAAGAACAATAAGTGAAAAGGTGGAATTCTAGCATAGAGTCATTCTAGACATCTAATATGTATACTGTGAATATCAACCTTTTCCACTCTTGGAACACATCAGAGAAGAATTTTGTGTGAAAGAATCAAGGCTTATTTTACATTCATTATTCATAAATTCACATCACACAGCATATAAAATGAGGCTAATTTTAGTTCTTCAGTCAAAATTTATTAAGGTACACAAACTTCATTAAACTGGAATAGCTTGAAATCTTCCAAAGTCTCTAAAATATCTCAACATCTTTTAAAACCTTCTAAAACTTTGAAAAGTCTAAAATCCACATTGTCTCATATGGATTTACAGCGATTTTAAGAGGCTTTAAGATATTTATAGATTTTGAGATATTTTGGTTGCCAAGATGTATGTGGGTATAGATATGGGTGTCTGAGTGTGGGGGAAGAGAGAACTGTAACACCCACATCTAATGACCATTTCTCTTTTTACAACTGGCTTGGCAGAATGATGAAAGATTCTGTATGATCTGCGGAGAGTCTTCGATAGTTTCATCTGTTATAAAAGAGTTTCGTATCTTTTCTACGGAATCCACTATATGTGGTTATAACCATGAAAGGTTCCATAGTTATCTTACGAAACCCTTCAAGGTTTTGTAGAATGTAAAATGGTATCGTACTCTTCCCGAACTATTTTCGTACTTTGAGAAAAGAAAAGGATCCGTATATTTTCTACAGAACCTTCTGCGTGTGCGGTTTCTGTCAAAAATTTTTCCAAGCAACCAATACCCTCAGACGATATATGAAAAATGATTCCTGACTCGTTGAAATCATCCGATAATACATGAATAGAATGATATTTTCGTTTATTCTTCACTATTACTAAACACTGCAATCGTTCAGAGTCAATAGGACTGCAAGTCATTAGACTCAATTCACTACTATAAAAGTATTAGAGATAGAGAGTTGCTGCTATTATCTCTAATTCTCATTCTACTTTGCTTATTTGTACAATATACAATTAGACACTGCTCTCGCATGTTGACCTTATGAAAAGTTAAAGTGAAATTGAGCGTATACGTACTTTGGTGTAGTCATAAGAGTACAGATGTAGGTATAGAGGCATAAGATTATAGCTGTAAGGATATAGGTTCAATAGTATAGATGGGAGAGTACACAGGTACCGATATAGACATAAAAATGCAAGTAAAAGGGTATAGATGTAACGAGATAGGTTTCAGGAAATAGATATGAAGGTATACGTTTTAGGGTCTGGATCTAAGTATGTAGAGGTAACAACATAGTCAAAAGGATATATTTATAAGGAGTTAAATATAGGAATAAGAGTTTAGGCATAAGGGTGTGAATGTGTTTGTGGTGTACTGATTTATATAAACACATTCACACACACCCCATACTCACATCCACTTCCACAGATACTCATCCACAAGCACATCACCGCACCCTCTTGAATGATAATCGTGCGAAAGAACGTCAATTTGTCCTTTTAATCTATGAATCGCGAGTTTCATTTTATAGAAACAGGAGTCACACATGTACTATAATTGCAGAAAACAAACACGAACATAATATGTATTCTTTCAGGTTTCATTTCCGTAAAATAGAAAAAAACTCTTTCTTTTTTATTGACATATTCTAGGAATACAAGAGTATTGATGATTATAATCTTTCATATAACTTCTGAAAGAATGCTGATTATGTATGTGATGATATTTCTTGCTCTGCATAATGTAGTGAATACTCACTATTCACTATATTATTCCGATATTCGGCAGAGTTCGTATCTGACATTTGATTGTTTGTACACTCAACTCATCGAAGGTGAACTAAATGAATATGAATCTTACATTATGAACAATCAGTTGACTCCTTATTGTCGACGACCCGATAATGATGAAAAACAAGAAGAAATATCTTATATATTCGGTAAAAATATAGCAAACAATATTACTTTTAAAGAATTGAGTGAACAAGGTATAACAAGTGAACAACTTCTTAATTGGTCAGCACCTATCGATCTTGTTGAACGATATGAAATGAATAGTCAAACTTCAGAATTATTCTATAATTGCTCATCGTCATGGTTTGGATCAAAATGTCAGTATCGATTTGTCTACAATTCATTTTTGTCATTTAATGAAATTGTTAAAGCTTCGCTGAATATTCGTCAGAAAATTCTGCATGGCGTAAGTGTAACCACATGTTATCGCTTTTTATCTGATTGCCATCGTGGACCATGGTCTTTATGTCTCGACTGGCGGCAAATATTTAATGGCATAGTTGATTGTAAGAGTGGTAAAGATGAGCAGTGGTGTGAGACATTAGAGATGACAATATGTGCTGATGATGAATATCGATGTCATTATGGTGGTCAATGTATTCCACGGATATTTGCACGAGATAGCTACTTAAGTGTTGACTGTCTGGATGGTAGTGATGAGAAACAAACCTTCTCCATCCATTCACCTTTTGCAGGTTCAGTTTGTGGTTCAATTATCACATTTCGATGTGAAGAGCGTATTAATCGATATCCTCTTGCTTTTCCATGCGGTGATGGTGAATTTTTGCCAAAGACTAGTGTTCCACATAGTGCGATACCTTGTTCCAACCGGAGAGATGATGAAATGACTAAAACCATGCTTACTTCATTGGATCACATTCAAGATATTAATTGTCGACAAGCATTTCGTTGTTCACTACTTTCCGATCGACCCTCTAGTAAGTAAGAATAACTGTATATTAATTTAATCATCGAGAAAACTCAAGTGTTCTTTTTGTTTTCCAAACAGTAATATGCAATGGCTAAGGTCTTGAAATGTAAATTATAATGTTTCAGCCTTCAACTTCAACAATGAATTGGTCTAGCATGTGAAAACTCAGTATGGGTTTGACAGTTTCTAATGATAATTTACAGTCTTCGTATTGATTAATAGTTATCGATATTGTAATGCCTTTCATAGTGAACAACATTGAAAAACATTGCTACCAGAAGAAATTGCAAGACAATAGTGGTCAATAGGAGCCTACATTCATATTTGCTATGCAGCACAAGATTTTGAGTTCTTTTATAAACTCATCGGCTTGTCTCAACACTTAATATTTATATAAAAGTTGGTCGAAAGGAACAATATATTTTTGGAGTATTTCTAACTGTGAGAAAAAGCATATATGATGTTGCCCTAACTTCGATTACTTTGAAATGCTATTGCATTGGATTCCATTTTACAGCGATGTTTGAAAATATCCTCTTCTTGCTCAGACCTCTTCACAGTGTCACTGTTTTTCAGTTTGGAAAATGTATATTTATTATTCATTGTTCCAACACAAAAATCGAAATGAATAATATCAAATATTTTCAAATTTATATATGAGCTATTTGAGGCAAAACAGGACATATGCATCTTTCATTTGACTTTGATTCTTTACAAAAGTTATTTTTCCGAATAAATTCTTTTAGCTGACTATTAATTCAATTTCATTGATTAATTAAAAAGTAATTAGCAAATATCTCTCAAATCATGAAATAAAAAAGTCCGAAAATTTTAGAATAGACTGTACGATACGAACCGCATCCATGTTTAAATTTTCAGCTAGATCCAATTTTTAAAAAATTCCCTATAAAAACTGGTTTTTCACATATCCTATCAAATCTCGAAACAAAATTCTTGTCTTATCATCATCTAGAGATTGTCAAAAAGGATTTTCATCTTTTCGAATCGACTGTGAATTTCTTATTTATTTATAAAAAACCGTTTTTCGCTTCTATATTTGTACTTCATCATATCGCTGACGAGAACTAAATACATTTTTTTGAGAAATATATGCATATTCAGAAAAGTAACTTTGAATAGGGATTTTGTAGTCTCAGAAGTTATTTACAGAATGCACTATTTAGGTTTCCAAAACGTTGCCTTAATTTGGAGTTTTGTTTTTTAAACTAAAATGTGCGAATTAAAAGTCGGTGTCTTCTTTTATTGTGTCATGTCACTGATACTAATTAGTTATTTACTGATAACTCCTATAAATAAAGGTCTGTAGCATTGATTTTTTTCAGAATATCTAGGATAACATTGACGTACATTGAACATAAAAAAGTAGCTTGCAAAAAGTTGATGATCCCGAGATAGACACGTTTTATTTTCGAAATGTCACGTCACTAATAAGTGATTTGATCCATACATGTTTGCTTGTTGAAATATTGATCATGGATATTCTTGGTTTTTCTTCAGTATTATATATCTTAATATTTTCGTATTTGCTCTGATTATAACGCGAGTTATCTGATTTTGCGTTTATCTAGTTTGCCACCTACAGTCTGATCGGTTTTCAACGAATGGATGCTTTGATGTTACTTCGAACAAAGACTGTGAACTTCTTGCCAATTATTGTTTGGATAAAGGGCTAATTTTACCTGAATATCCTGTTATGTATGGTTATTTTCAATTTGTCTATTTGACTAATCGATCAACTAATGAATTTAAAATTAATGTTGGACCTGACTTCGTATGTTTTGATGCACAGAAATGTTCTGGATTATTATCTAGAATAGTCCCGATCAAAATAATCGATGGTCTTACATGTTGCCGCACTTTTGACTTGATTAATGAATATCCAAGAAACGATTTTAATATGTTGAACTACGATTTCTCTCGCCTCTATGATGAATGCTCGACTATGGGTAATGAAATTTCATGTACAAATTCATCTTATTTTCATTGTAATGAATCTTTAAAATGCATTTCATATCATCGTGTTGGTGATGGATTTAGAGATTGTTTTTATAATGAAGATGAATTATTTCCTGCATGTCATCTGAATGTCTCAAATCGATTTAGTTGTACATCAGATCCAACCAAGTGCTTGTCGCTTGTAGCAATTGATAATGGACAAGTGGATTGTCCACAAAGAGAGGATGAGATACATGAGAATATATAGGATATCCTGCGACAAAAACACTTTTCATTTATATGTAACTTAGTTCGACAGGTAGACGGCAATGAAACTGATGAAACAAACTGTGAATGGTGGCCATGTGATAATCCATACTCACATTGTGATGGGATATGGCATTGTCTTAACAGTATGGATGAACTTAATTGTCCCAATATGAATTGCTCACGGACCGAATTTCAATGCAAAAACGTATATTTGAAATTAACGTATTGTTTACCATTAGTTCACATGTTCCATAAACGAAGAAACGACTGTGCGAAGGATGACACTATTCAAGAACTCTATTTCGACAATGGAACAAATGATATTAGCATATCTTACTATTCATTTAACAAATCCAAATGTATAACTGAAGACAACATTTGTAATCGTCATTCAGAAAGAATGAATCTACAAGAAGATGCATGCCTTAAAAATCAAGTGCTCAGCATAGACGTGTCTTTTAATAGTGAAGTCTACAAAGTCGATAATGACAATACATACTTATGTACTCTTCAACATAATAAAAACATTTTGCTTCATTTGATCGATCGCTTCTTGACTCCTTCGCGACTTGGCTATTTTCCATCAGCAACATCTACAAGTTCTGTTCAAAGATTTTTCGACAAATATGAAGAGAAAAATGGTATACCTAAGATAGATACTGCACTCGCTGGGTATTGCCACTATGGTATTCTCACTCTATTCAATGGTATTAATCAAACAAATACATGTCTTTGTCTACCAAATTATTTTGGTTCTCAATGTCAATGGCAGAGTCAACATATTAGTTTGACTTTACAATTAAGAACAAAAAGTATTATTGCTCCTCCACTTATTTTTCAATTAATCATCATGCTCATTGATGAAAAAGGAACTATTATACCTAATTATGAACAAATAATATATATGCCTGCTCATGACTGTAATACAAAATTTAATACCTATCTACTTTATCCACATCGTCCCAAACATTCATCAATAGATTATTCTATTCGTATTGATCTTTTTGACAAATTAACATTAAATTATTGGACGAGTTGGTATTTGCCAATACCATTTCAGTTTCTTCCTGTTAATCGAATATCGACTCAGTTAATCATTCCTGAAGTACGAGAAAATAAATTATGTACACTGTCGTGTGGAGAACATGGTCGATGTATGAAATATACAAATATGAACAATTCATTTTTTTGTCGATGTAATCAAGGATATACTGGTACTTTTTGTAATATGACACATCGATGTCAATGTTCAAATGATTCATTTTGTCTTGCTCCATCTATCTGTGTATGTCCTTTGAACAAGTTCGGCTCACGTTGCTATTTGAAAAGGTCAATATGTCAATCAATGAACAATCCATGTCAACACAATGGACTTTGTATAGCAATTGATGATCGTATTAAATTACATGGATTTATTTGTGATTGCAAAGAAGATTATCAAGGTGAGCAATGCCAATATAAAAGCAATCAAATTGATATTCGTATAGATGAGACAATATTAACAATAAGTTCATCATTCATTCTACATTACATAATAGCATTTGATAGATACACAAGACATGAACGAAAAACTATAATAAAAAAGATTGCTTTCGGTGATAATACTATGACTATTTATGCACGACAACCATTTAACATTCTTTTCATACAAATACCTAATGGTGATTATTATCTAACGATATTAAGAGAAAAATATATACCATCAGAATATATTCATACTCAAGTAGTGCCAAAAAATCGATGTTATTCAGCTCTTGATCTTTATAATGATACATTTCGTCAGTATGAATATCTACGTCGAGTGAAATATTATCCACTTTTATGTCGTCAAGATCCACAATTGATGTGCTTTTATGATGAATACTACATGTGTATATGTGATAGTGATCGATTTTCAAATTGTTTCCAATTTAATAATACGATGAAATATGATTGTAGTGGAGAAAATCTTTGTGATAATGATGGTCGATGTTTTCTCAACAATGAAACCTGTTCAACAACATTTATTTGTGTGTGTAATGAGTGTTACTATGGAGGACAATGTCAATTTTCAACAAAAGATTTCATTTTTTCACTTGATCCAATTCTTGGATATCATATTAAACCAAGTATTTCAGTTCATCGACAACCATTTATTGTTAAATTCAGCATTATTATTACTACAATTATGTTAATTTCAGAAATAATCATGGGTTCATTGTCTATCGCAACATTTCAAGTGAAAAAATTAAGAGAAGTTGGTTGTGGTTATTATCTGTTCGTATCATCGATTACTTCAATGTGTATGATTATTGTATTAACAATTAAATTTTGGCAACTTGTTCTTTCACAAATGTCAATCATAACTAATAGATCAATACTCTCTATTAATTGTATTTTAATTGAAATAATTCTTAAATCTTGTTTAGCATCAAGTGAATGGCTTAATGCTTGTGTAGCTATGGAAAGAATGTTTAATGTTATCAAAGGTATGACATTTAACAAAAAAAAGAGTAAGATAATAGCTAAACAAGTGACTTTTTGTGTTGTTATTATTACGATACTGTCACATGTTCATGATCCAATTCATCGACAAGTAATTGATGATTTAGACGGAGATCAACAACGAATATGGTGTTAATCTCAATATTCATCTGCATTCACTAAATATAATAAATTTATTACTCTCTTTCATTTTCTTGTTCCGTTTTCCATCAATTTGATATCTGCTTTAGTACTTATTATAATAGCAGCTTATAATCGTTTTAAGATAGAATCGAAACAATCATTCATGCAACAGTTTCAATTGAAACTTAAACAACACAAACACATTATAATTGCACCTATTATTTTGTTAATATTAGGTTTACCACGTCTTATCAGTTCATTCAAACTGGGATGTATGAAATCACCACGTCAATCTTGGTTATATTTAATTGGCTATTTAGCAGCCTTTGTACCACCAATGTTAACATTGTTTGTGTTTGTTTTACCGTCGAAAACATACAGAAATGAATTCAATAAAACAGTGCAAAAGTGGATTCGACGAATTCATTTAAGATCTTGATCTATTTCATATGACATTCTTATTAACCATGCTTCTATTTCATTTTTCAACATTATAGATATATATATCATAATCTATCGTTCTCTACTTATGTCAGTTGATCTTACTTTTCAGATGTCTAAAATAAAAAGTATGAAATAATTGAATTAGCTTGCTTTTAATTATTTTCATTAAAACATCTTATAAGTTTGTTTTTTTTTGGTCAAAGGTAAACCAGAACTGTGATTGCCAACTATTTTGCTTTAATCCTGTGGATAAAATGTGGACGTGGTTGTAGATGTAGATGGCATTTGGGTGTGAAAGTCTTCTCTCCTACCGCATCCATACATGACATCCGCTCTCGTCCTATCCATATGAAAATTTTCTGCATCTAAACGCATTGAACATAGCTTGCTAATTGCAGAGAGATTGTTTAATTTAATCTATTTTGAGACATATTTCTTCATCATCCCTTTACCTAATCCTCTACAAAACAATAAGGAAGTAGTTCACATATTATAACGAAATGTTATCGATATACGGTCAGTGTTTTATACAGATTTTCTTTTTCGAAAGGGCGACTTAAAATTTCAGAAGGGCCAACTCTATCTTCAGAGGAGCGTTGCCCTCTTGATCATTATGCTGAATAAAATACTATATACGATGGTCCGTGATCGTATATTAGGAAAGTCTGTCACGATCTATGACGTTTCTATGAGTATGTGTGTTACATATGTAATGAGTCCCTTTCTAAAGTGTCTCTGACAGTCTGTTGGCTCCGTCCGAGAAAGAAACAACAGCAACTTCACTCTTAAAGTCTGCTGTTTTCCCTTCGATACCGTCTATTATTGTCAGTGAAGGATATAAATTTCTATCCTATATACTTCAGCACTCATATTACATTGCGTTTCACGAAACAAATGAAATCAAGTAGTACTTTCATATGACCGTCAATAATTTCATAGTGAATTAAAGTAAGAAACGAATTTTTTTATTTGCAATTAGTTTCGTATTGATTCAAAAATGAATCTTTCATACTATTGAATCAATATCTTTTCTTCTCTTATGAAAAAAAAGAAATAAGCAAGTTTTGTGTTAGTTCGTTTTTTTTTATCAACATCATTAAGCACAAGAAAAAAGAACAGTACGAGAGAGTAAATTTTCAATATATGTTTGTTGTTCAAGTAATTGATTTTTGTTTCGTGTTTTGGCTAATTCAACTATATCTTCGAATGCTTCTTTGATATGTTGACAGTCAATTAGTGAATCAAGTTCATCTAACGATATTTGACAATATTTTAAATATATATCTTCATTCGTATCATCAATAACATTTTGTACCAATAATTTCAAATATTCAACAAAACGATGACATAAATTTAATACAATTTCATCATCATCGACCCAATGAACTCGTTTACCACTACTACGTGATATTGATGAATCCATTTGAGTCATTTCACCACCACCACCACCAAAGTTATATAAATGTGTTACATCAGACTTTGTTGAAGAAATAACTGAAATTAAAAATTTTAAATTAAATTAATAATATCAAGAAAATAAAACCTGTTTTATGTTCATTTGATTTTGTTCGTTTTAAAAATTTATTTAGTCTTCGTCGCCATGTATTATTTGTACGTGGTGATGATGATGCATGATATGACGATAGAGCAATATTTTCGTTATTATCCATTTTATAATTAAGATTTGATTGTTTTTCAGGTGATGACCAAGTAACAACTCCATAGGCACGATTATCTTCATTATTTTGTAATATTTTTGGAGGCCATATAGAACTATCAGCAAATGGTGTTGGTGGCCGAATAGGAAAATCGAATAATCCAAAATAACCAGGATATGTTGTTAAATCTATAGAAATGAGGAAAAATTATGTTTTATCAAGTTATTTTTCAAATAATAAAATATCCTTCTGGTTCAAATAAACGATAAGTCTTATTTTGCTTTCGATTACTTCACTTTACTTTTATCGTTTAATCTTATTTCTACATCACAAATACAAATTTGAAGGCTAAGTTGATTCAGAAGGTTTCAGCTTTCTTGAATGAAGATTTTTTGATAAAAGTATAAATATCTTTCAATATATTTATGTTGCAATGAAACAAAAATTGATTGTCTTCTTACTAAATTGTGATTCTTTTTGTAAGCAATTTTTTTAGGCATTTATACAAAACATATACAATAGTAAAAACAAAGGATCGAGAGAATTTAATTTATTCTTGAAGTATTGATATATTATCGAAAAAAAAAAACAAAATTCAGCAAGAAAATAACGAAATTTTGCTTTTACTATTGCTTATGTACATTGAAGTGTTTGTACTTTTTTTTAATATATTCACATTTAATAGAGCTGAAACTTTTCGAATAGATGAAGAAGTCAAAAATGTATATGGGCATAAATACAAGATTAAATGGCAGTGGTAGAAACAAATCATCGAAAAAAAAAGATATGTGCTTTATTTGACCAGCGGTAATATGTATAGATTTCAGTTCTTTTTTTTTTTTCATTTGGTTTCTTCTCTATGTCAATATTTGCTTGTTAAGGCTATTCAATACATGCAATCGTAACATTGTATTTTATTGAGATGTCTCAACTATTCGTCAAAATATGAAGTCAAAATTAAATTTTGATTGTTTTCAGATAAAATCAAATTTTAATAATTGTTAAATTTAATTCATTATAAATTTATTCAAATATTTTTATTTTTATCGAAATAAAATAAAATTATGATGTAATCTTTATTCTTTTGGAAAAATAAAAAACAAAATTTACATTGTTTTTCTTTTTAATTTACAAATAAAATAATTAAAAACAAAATCTCATTAACAAAAAAATATACGTACCAATTATATCCGGTTCATCATCATCATCATAGTTTGTTGGTATCATTTCTACCTCATACATTTAAAGAAATGAAAAGAAACTGAATGAATATATGTAAATATATATATACCCATTGATATTCGATCATAGAATAACAAATAGTTACCTGTATATGTGTAATATTGATCACGGTTCGATAGAGAACAGGTTATAACGATAGTATTAATGTGAATAACGAAGATGGAGAGACGTCAACTTTAAAACGATTTCTTTTCTTATTCGTTTATATTGATAACTGTAATGGAATTTTTTATTAAAAAAAAAAACAAAAAATAGTAAAATGCATTGAATGAATAAATGACTATCTGGTGTTATTTTATACAAAGTTATACAACGACTGTCAAACTTATTCTTATCAGTAGATTATTTTTAGTTTGTATATATCGCAAAACTGAGATGACCTAGAATGATTTCGTTTGTATTAGATTACATTCAATAGTCTCCAGTATTTTAGTAAAAGATGCTACGTAAATCTCTTAATCTAATCTGTTTTTTTTTTTTTCTATTTATGGTACAATCACAGCATGTCATTTTTTTTTCGTCCTTTCAAAATTATTTTAACCGATTATTTTTGCAAACTATTGCAAGATTATTCTAGGTTGAAATTTTGCTTTTGATACTATGTAATTCAATAGAACAAATAGTACTCGATATAAGGAGTATTGCTTATGAGAGATTTCTTTTCAATGGACATTAAAAAACAATGTTTTATGACTTATATCGAAAATTTTGAACAAAAAAGGCAAAAATTGATTTTTTTGTTGTATGATGTTTAGACAATTTTGTTAATCAATATATCCTTAGCAAGAGTAGCAAAAATTGCATAAATTGAATACATATTTCATGTTGAAAAATTGTGTTGATCATCTCTTAAATATACATCAATCACAAATAGACTTTCTTGTACGGTCTCATTCACGTGATCATGAATGTGAAAAAGAATTGTTTTAACAGCGTGTTTATGACGTTTCGAAAACAGGTCAAATTTCAGCAGACTTTCGAAAAAAAATGCCCACCCTGTTTTCAAAGAAATTTTTTGTGGTTTTTCTAAAATTTTTTTTAGTTTCAACAAGATTGCCTTTTTGTTCGCGTCAATATTGAATAGGTTATTCTTGTATCATTTAAGCATGACAGATAATATTAGCTTTTAGCATATGTTACGTGATTTTAAAAATTCTATTTTAATGTTATTTTTTCGTGAATTTGAATGAAAAAATCCAACAAGCTATAATTTCACTCTAGTTTGACATATCGAACTGAAATTTCCAACAAAAACGTTTCTCAATAGAACCATTCATTTCTGAAAATTTCAGCCTAACGGGTCAGCCTAAGAGAAAAAATCTATTTTGAGGACGGACCCTTTAACTTACAATCCAGAGGCCGAAAACGAACCGATCTGCATTGGACTTAAATTATTTTTTTGTGAAAGTGTAATCGATTTTGTAAAAATCTGATGGAATCAATAAAAATAAAAATAAGTTTTGATTGATTGTTTGACATCCTGAAGTTACTTTCTATATAATACAGCCTGTTATTCTCTTTATAACAGTCAAGTGAATTATGTTTAAAGACAATCGATCACTTTTGTGCGGCATAATTCTTTGGTTTTTTATTTCTCTTTTAAATATCTCCATTAGGATATAGATGTGATGAAGGCTTTGATGAGCTTTCTAATAATATATTTGGAAAATAATTTTAGAAAGAAAATTGATGATCATTTTTCAGTTCTATCATAGCATTTAGCTTATTTAAGAGAACAATTTTTACTAGAATAGTTCACATAATGAAAGTTGTCATTTTTTCTCGAAAATTATGCTTAACATATAGAATTTCTTTACTCGTTCTAATGTTGAATATACAGAAAAACGAAAACTTATACTTAAAATATAGAAGAATCTTGCTCTGTACATATTAAAAAATCTAACATGTCCATAACTCGAGATAATGATCAAATTCGATAATCTTGATAACGGTCTTAGTATACAATAAGAGTTATGTACTGATTAAGGAATGAAAAAAATTGTAGGTGTTTGGATTAATTATGAGTGAGATCAATCATTTTTAGTTCTTGTTTCGCAATAGATGTACTAGCGAAAAATGCAATATTATTTTCTAACAATGTCAATGCGTTCGAGACATGTTGAACGATCTATATCAATTCTAATAGTGACAATATGACATTTGATGCAAGTCTTGCACAACCATAAAAGATACTACTCTCGATAAATAAATGTAATCCTAGTCCCGATGGCGCCGGTACAAGGACCATCCTATTCATATCTAGTTCGAATGCTTTTTGGATTGATTATAAATACGCTTTATTACGTTATAGACAGCAGGCTTCAAATGCATACTATAGTTCTAGCAACAGACTAGATTTTTATTTCATATTCAATTCATGCGATTTGTAATGCTCGTGTGAATGATATATTGATTAAAAATTTTAGCTAAAGATTGTATGAAGAAAAAATATTTTTTCTCACCTTTTTCGTTAAAAATTTTCGGTATGAATCAAAAAATATTATTTTTTAACCTTTACTTAATGAAAAGTTGAAAGAAAAATGAATTCTTACATGGAGCGCAATTTTGTTTTATTAAATAATGTAGTATAAAAAGAAAATTTCACCGTAGAGCAGGTTCACAATAGTTTGCAAAAATAAGTGCTTGAATAATTTTGGAAGAATGAAAGACGGCATGCTGTGATTGAATCGTAAATAAAAATAACAAAACAGATTCATAGATTTACGTAGAATTTTTTATTAACATGGTAAAGACTACAGGCTATAATCTAACAAAAAATAAATCATTCCAGTTCAGCTAATTTTTGGAAATATGCACAAAATAAAATAATCTACTGATTAGATAATTTTAGACAGCCACTGTATGTTTATTAAAAAATGAGAATAATTCTTAACTTTCAATAAACGATATATAAATCGTAAAAAAAATGTAAACTATCATCTGTCATTTTTATTTATAAACTCATAGCGATACTATTTTGAAGGGTTACATTTTTGTATTATAAAATTTAATAATAATAAAATTAATATTAATCTTACGTTTTTAAAGTTAGCTGAAATTAACAACTTCAAATATATAGAATATTAAAATTAAGATGCAAGAGAAGAAATTAATACTCTGAAAGTATTTTAAAATATAATGCTTAGTGTATGAGTCTAGACGAGATGTATTGTTCAACTGTGAAATGATTCGACTATCTTTATTAAAGTGTGTGAATTAATACAGATGCTTATAACTGAAATCAATATTAGAAAAATCAAACTCATTTTTCAATAGCAAAAATCAGAACAAATTTATTTTAGTTTTAAACTAATTAAAATTATCATAAACATAATGCATTAATAACAGCTCTGCATCCAAAACTAACAATGACGTACAAACAAAATTTTACTCAAGTCTTAAATAACTACTAATATAATAGAATTTACGTTGATGTTGAAGGTTTAAATCTGAAGATGATCATTATAACAATAGAAAAGGTCAAAATATTCTTTTATTGAAATCATAGCACACAATATAACAAAACCTTTCTATTTTAATATATACTAATAAATTTATTCTAACTCATACTATTCAAAAAAATCTCAAGCTATTGTTTTGCATTTACTTACATTATATTAGTACTTGGCTCAAACAGGCTTAGTTGTAAGTGATGGTATACGAACAAATACGACAATTAATATGGCTTAGTATGACGAGTGTATGCCTTCATATTGTATGTGGAGAAGTACGATGGTTTACCAAGGAAAAAAAACACGTTAAAGCTTAGTTAATATGGCATTGTAACGAATTTTTTAACGCATTTTATCGTCTTAGAAATACTTACACACGTTAAATTTTTTCTAGAATTACATGCTTTACCTGTTGGCATGGCAAATTTGACGAGTTCTACAGCATTTAAAAGCGTATTAATTCGGAAAGATCAGCTGAGGAAACATATAGTTCTTGAACATGTTTCACTATGTTCTATAATAACTGGTCATGTCCTGCTTTTTAAGCAAATCAGTGCATTTAAATGTGCTAGCTTATACATATATTAATACATTCGATGCAAAAATTCATATTTATTGACCACTCGTAGTTTTTTTCTTTTTTCCATTTCTAATATGATCATAGAAATTTTTAAGAATATATTTTTTTTTTCATTTATGATTCATTCTATATGATTAATACTCTTATCATTTTAAGGATCTGCTGTTGATTTATTTCAGGATTGACTTAGAGCTATTGAAATCATTGCATTTTCATCTCGACATGAATAAGCATTGAAAATTGTGCATAGATACACGAAAAATTTATTTTATCCCGTTTTACTTTGATGCTGACACCTGTCATTAACCTTTTAGAATGTTTTAGTCCCTTTAATACCTTAAGTCTTTTTAATCTTCTTAGGCCTTTTAGTTTCTTTAATCCTTTTAGAAACTAAAAGGCACTAAAGGCTTTAAAGAGACTAAAGTATGAAGATCATTGTAGTATGTATGCCATAAGAGTAAAACGGTATAAAACTAGTTTTTCGTGGACCCTCAAATTGTGAACATTGTGTTATCAAAAAGGAACGCAATAGTTAATGGTGAGTTGAATATATTGAAGTTGAACATTGTTAGAAGAAAATCAGTCTAGTAAGTACTCAAATCTTTTTTCCAATGCTCTTTTGGCTTTTATATCCATTTTTTGGCCATTTACATATCTTCTTCAATAATCATTCTAACGTCATGAAAAATGATTCTTAAAGATAATATAGCCGTACATTTGAATGTTGTTCCATAGCACTATTCGATTTTGTTGAATCTTCACCACGTCTCGACCGTTGGATTCATTATTGGATTCTATACATCGAATTCTTATAAGGCTTAGCAACTGTCGAATATCATACCGTACGATAAATTAACTAAGAGACTTTTTTCAACTGTATTTGTCAACTGTTCGGACCCCATATGATCTGTCCATCTCAGTAACTCTTCTGGACTCGCTATGACACGAAGATTGTTATTAATAATTTTTTTGTACAGGTGCTTTACTTGAATAACTATTTAATCCCAAGTACTACTTGAACATTACTAGCATTGTTTAATAAATATCGGTACCAATTTGATATTAATACTCAGGTACTTATATGTATTTATTCTAACTGATTTCCTCGAGTAAGGAGCTTTCGAAATTGAAAATACTATGATGAATAATATTTTAATCTCAAGTGATATTTAACTACCAATTGGCTATTTATTTATTATGATTATTCTTTTTGACAAAAGGAAAGAGAAGATTGATATAATACATAGATCAATAAGAAAAGAGAATATCATGTAATTGCTCTTTTATTATTTGAATTGAACAATGCTGAAATAAAATATTGAATGGATGAATTGACTTGGAAGAAGACACGTTTAGAGATGTTTCTAGAATGATGCCTTAGCTAGAGTTGAATAATATGAAATGAGAATATTAAAAAAAAAACAGAACGATTGAATAAATAAATGTTGTAAACAGTATATTCACTGTTATATTATTTTTCAATAACAATGACCATGATTCTCAGGTGTTGAGCGCCTTTCTTGCCGAAAATGTGTACTTCTGTTAATCAGTGTACCAAAAATAATAAATCGGTAACAGATATTCAAGTATAAAGTAAAGCTTATAAGGAAAAGACTAGACCATAACATAACGAAAAAAACAAATGAATATACAATATCAATAAAAAACAACCTAGCCGCTGCAAAAATATTAAATGCATACTATCAAAAATCAGATCGAAAGTACGGTATCATAAATAAAAAAAGAAGTAGATATAAATCATTACTCAAACGAATCAGCTATATAAATCATGCAAAATCTATATATTTGTTTTCTTGAGTAATTTATTGAATCTTGTTAATAGCTATCCAACTTTTTTCGTATTTCTTTTATGCTAATTGTCAAATTCATTCAGATAGCACTAGATTTTAAATAGCTATTTTCATGAACACCTACAATACATGCAAAGTTGTTACACAATAATCACCTACATAAATCATTTAATAGATGTATATTATTTTAAAAAGTAACTAATTATTTTCAGAATCGATAATTCCATCACTAGAAGTCCATTTAATAATAATAATCACCATCAATATGATACTAATATCAGGAATTTAAAAATTATTCTTTATGTAAATTTTAATTTTATATTCATCCTTATAGGATATACTCCAAATGGGCTACTCTATTTCCAAATATATGAAAATTCTCTTTATGTTATTGGTGCTACTAATGCCATATTATATATTAAATCAAAAGAACACATATGACCGATTAAGCAATTTCACATATTTTTACTCGTATCAAAATATTATCAAACCATTAAAATATTTCAAATAAAAACTGATAATACTAGTTTTAGTTCTCATCATACCATTTTTACCGATGCTAATATTACTACCCGTAATACTATGACTAAGGCTATTCTTAATCGAACAATCATCACAACTAGTACTGCAAGTACTCCTGCTACTATTGATCCAGCTGAATTACTGGTCGAAAGGCCTCCTTCTTTTTCACGGCACGCTAAAAATCTTTCAAATGGTAGTTTAGTTGTTTTTGTTTTTTCATACTCGTCATTTTGTGCTCACTAATCTTCAAGTCTTTCTTATCCGAAAATTAGCTACCAATTTAGTTACCGTTGAAAGTTTTCTTGATGGACCTACATCAGAAGAAATGCGACAAGTTGCTGCTAAGCATAATGCTGGACTACATAGTTTACCAACAAATATAAATAAAAATGTTATGGAGCCATCAGTTAGAAATACCAATCTTGTTCAATGGGCATTAAAAATAAAAGGAAAAGATTATCTTAAAAATGGTTCTGCTGTTCTTTTACTTGACGGAGATGTACTTCCTTTAACTCCTTTTAACTCAAATACACTTTTAAATTCACATGATATTGTTTGTCGAAAACATCCTGTTTCTTATGGACGATTTTGTTGTATTGGATTGATTTGTTTAGCTCCACAATTATACAACACCATAGATGATTTTAATGTAGCATGGACATGACGTGCAGGAAAATTTTATGATGCCGGTGGTCGAACAATCGAATATTTATTAAAATATCAAAATACATCATTTTCTTGGATGAAAGAAACTATTCTACTTGATAATGATAAAGAACTATTTTGGGGTGCAATTGATAATGATATTTCTTGGATTAAAACTAATTTTGATCGTTGTGATAAATGTGGACCTGAAATTTTTTTCTCTCCATTTAATAATAGTAATGTAGTGTTTTATCATATGATTAGTGCAACTTCAGAATGGAGATTTGGAAATCAAATTTTACGTAGACAATCTATTTATGACTCTTTTATGCAATCTCAATATGGGATAAAACTAACAAATGATATTTCTGAAGAATTATTCATGTCTGGATTAACTACATCTGTAAGAAAAATACAGAAAATGAGATTAATACCTTTTCATGGCAATCTTACATGTAGTAGTATATGTCGAAAATAATTATCCCGATAAGAAAAAAACAATAAATTTTAGTTATTATACCGAGTAATCAAAAGAAAATAACATATATATTTAAGAAAAATGAATTTATTTATGATGTTTCATTTATATGAAGTAAATTTTATGTGTGATGAACTATAAAATAAAATAATAAAATTTTAAAATAGTCTTCATCTTTTTGCTATGAAAAAGTGCTGAAGGGGTAAATTACGTAGATTCTTATCTAGTTATTTTTATTTTTATTCTTTTTTCTGATAGTTATTTTATTTATTTTTTGTCTTTCTATATACAAATAAAATTCTTTCTATCACATTGGATCAGGACTAGCAGCACTATCGCTGATTTCAATAACATTTGCTGTTGATGTATATTGATCAATAAATGATTTGATATGTGAACTGACTCGTTGGCCTAATAATTCATTCTAAAACGAAAAAAAAAAAACATAAATATTAGAATGTCATAGATGGACGATTTCTAGCTAAACAGAACATATTCACCTTTCATTTAACTTCGATTCTTTACGACAGTTATTTTTCTGAATAAGTTCTTTTATCAAAGAGATGGCTGAAGATGTTGACTCTTTTAGCTGATTATTAATTAAAACGTAATTAGTGAATATTTCTTTAGTCATATGAAAAAAAAATGTGAAAACATTAATCTAGACTCTATGACGCAAATCATACGTATACTAAAATTTTCGGCAAAACTAGACTTCAAAAGAATTTCTGATAGAAATCAGTTCTCTAGAGATTTTGTCAAGTTTCGAAACAAACATTTTTGTCTTATTATCATCAAGATAATGTGAAGAAGGAATTGTACTATTTAAGATTGGTTTTGAACTTTTCATACGGTTATGCGAGCATTTTTTCGTTTGTATATTCGTACTTCATCATGTAGCAAACAAACGATCTCGTTTATATATTCTCATCAATTTAAGAGACACAAATGAATACTTATTAATCTTGATATAAAGTTTTTCGTTGTAAACAAAATGACAAAGAATCAACTTATAGAAAGTTATTTAGTAAATATTTTCAAAATATGATAAATAAGAACATCGATCTATTACTTTTAGAAATCAGAATATTTAACTGATTATTATTAAAATCTAATGTGAATTAAACTCTGTTATTAGCTGCTTTTTTTTTTCTTCAAAATTTCAAATCTGGAATTCATAAGCATAATGTCGAGTGACTCTTTATTACTGAGGATGTGTGTGTGTCTACTTTTTCTCAGACTCCCCACATCCCAAGCACACATTTTTGATACACAATAAGGACAGAGAAGAAAAAAGAAGAAGAGAGAACAAAAGGGGAGGAGAGTCAGGTGGTTAATGATGCATAGCTACAACAGAAGGAATGATGAAGAATATGATAGGAAGAAATGACAAATGAGGAATAAAGTATATGATAAGAAGGACAGACAAAGGAAGGTTAAACATAATGTATGAACAATTAATTTAACCAAGTGGTGAGAATAGATGATGACACACAATAAACCCATTCAGGAACGTCACACACTCCGCCACTCACCAGACACCTTGACAGACGTTATTGAATATGAAATATTTTCCAATTACATTTTTGAAGCATCAATTAAATTATAGTGGAGAGATTTATCTCAAAATAGATATAATAAAACAAACCTCCTGTGATTAGCAACGACAGCTACATTGTTTTTCATATATTAATCCTACATAGATTGTGTTTACAGCTCTTGTGGGCATTAGTCTCATATGAAAAAAAAAACTAAAAAACCACTAGCAAAAAACTTCCTTAATTATTATTAATACTATGAAATAACATAATCGAAATTAGGTGTATAGTTGTCTTAATATGATTTGTATGAATTATTATTTTGTATATATTTTAACTTACGTTAAGTGTCCAAGCAATATCAATATCTCCATTTGATTCGATTGATACACGTAATTGTTGATTATTAACATGTAGAAGATTATCAGATATAAGCATAATACGATGTTTTGATTCATTATCATTACTATTCAATTCACGTTCAAGTAATTGAATTAAAGATATTAATTGAATAGGACGAATATTGGTTGTTGATGAAAAATGTGAATGAAATAGAACTGTATGATGAACAAGACCTAATTCATTCATAGCTGTTGATGGTCGAACAAGACGAAGACGCTAAGAGAAAAACAAAAAAAAAAAACAAGAACAAAAGATTTTATTTCATTAAAATAATTTTATATGACTTACACCATCTTTAATGATCAATGTACCTCGCATTTGTTTTGTTCTTTTTTCCGATCGACTAACATCAGCAGTTTCTTCTGAAGAAATACGATTGAAAAATTTTATAAATAAAAACTTATTTTTTATATCTATGAAATTACCTTTCAATTGTTGTACAAGTCCTGGTTCAATATCAACTGGTACACCATGTGGGGTTTGAATGATTATTGTTTCACCATTAGCTGGTTTGAAACAAGGAATTTCTATTTATATATATATATATATATATGAATGTTTTTAATTTTAAAGAAAAGAAAAATGATTTCTATATTATATTTACTTAATTCTTCTTGAACTCGACCACGAAGAAAATCCATTACTAAATCTTCGCCATGAACTAAAACAACATTACTTGGTTGACATTGACGAATAAGTTGTGTTATGCCTTTAGCATCGGCATGAGCTGAAAAAGACATATAATGAACTTGCATTTTAGCTTCAATTTCTTTTCCATCAAATAGAAAACGTCGTTGACCAAGTAATAATTTCGAACCTACAGTATTAGCAACACAATAACCAGGAATAATAATCTATAGATAAACAATATTATAAAGATAAATAAGAATTCAAAGTAAGAAAAAAAAACAAACCATATTTTTTTCATCTGGTGCCCATTTTTTAAATAAATGAAGTGAATAACCAGCATGAAGCATTCCAGGTGAAGCAAATACAATCATTGCACCTGGTTGTTCCACATAAGATCGATCCCATGGCTTGAAATATAACAATATGAACATTTATTTTCAGAGAATTAAAAAAAAATCTATTTCAACACATTGAAGACAATTAAATTCTGCAAGGTTCCCGAAAAATGTATTTTTAGAAAATACAGCTAAAAAGATTAATAGAAATGAAAGCCAGTCAAAAATGAGATTCAGAATTATAACTAGAAACTCGTACCGGAGTTATTTTTTTAGAATGGGCTGAACACTAAAGGTATATTTGAATGGCGAGTTTTGTTTGATATTCATTGTACAAACTGATTATTTTGCAGGTTTGATTCATGTCTCCTCAGGACTTTATAAATGTAAGAAAAGTCAGAGTCAAGGTTAACTTCAACGTCTTCTCATGAATATAGATCTCAAAGAGACACTAATCGAACTCCAAAAATCAATTAGTTTGTACTGTGAATGTCAAAGAATAAAATTTACAATTCAATAAATCTCTTATATTGAATTCTGATTTAAAAGTAACATATTTAGTTGACTCTGATGAAGGTCTCTAATTATATCTGATGATTATGTACTAGAGAATTACACAGAGTTTCAAAATTTTAGAACTACAAATGAATATTTTCATGGATAGTCACTCATAAAAACCATAAGTTGTTAGAAAATTTTTTTTTTCGTCTACTAGACATTGCAGAACTATCTCTGCTGATTATTCATCTCACAAAAAAATGAAAATCTAGTCTGAGAATTTTTCGTATTTATAGATGACTATTCACTGTACATTATAGGATGAACCACCGATAGATTAAATAAAGAAGTGTACAGACTCCAGTTTTCTTTTTTTTGGTCCTTAACATTCTTAGTTCCATCGTTGTAAATATATTAATAACGTACTTTAATATGTTTGAAATCAAAAATATTCTTTTGATGAAATGTTGATTGAATTTTTTCATTAGTCCATGAAACAAATAATGAATAATAAGTATTAACTTTTTCTGAAAGTCCCGATGCAAAATAAATAGGTACATTCAAATTCATTCGTTCTAAATATGTTTCTAATAAAATACATAATTCTTGAGCACGTCCTACAGCAAATACAGGTACAAGAACTTTGCCACCATGTCGAACACAATCAACAACTTTAGCCATAAAATCACGTTCACGTGCACGTCGTGAATCACGTACAGTTGAACCATATGTTGATTCTGTAATTAATACATCTGGTCGACATCGATCAATATGTGCAGAACCAAGATGACGATCAGCTGTTGTATTAAAATCACCGGTATAAACAAGAGTTTGTTGACCAACACGAATATGAAACATAGCTGCACCCAAAACATGTCCAGCATAATAAGCTTTAATTTCAAAATCTGTATCCACCTTTGGAGAGAAAATAAATATTTAGTTCATAATAACGAAAAATAATTTTACCTTAACAGTCTGTCCTAAACTAACAGGAATGACTTTTTTCATACAATTTTTTATATCTTCCGTTGTATATGGTCCTTGTTGTGTTGTTTTATCTGTTGTTACTTTTCGAAAATCTTCCTATATATAAAATAGAATAAATTTTTAGAAAATATTTATTTATCCATACAAGAAGTAGAGGACAAATTGCTTTTGTTGGATAGGTCATGTATAATGGACCATTATAACCAACAACTTCAGTCATATAAGGTAATGCTCCACAATGATCCAAATGAAAGTGACTATATAGAGAAAATCTTTCGAACAGCAACAAAAGAAAATATTTTAATACCTTATTATAACACAATGAATATATGGTGTAAGTGGACCATCTTTACATATAACAGAAAAATCTGGAAATCGACGCTACAAAAAATAAAGTACAAAAAATTTAAAAAAATAAAATAACTCACATCATCATGAAAACCCATATGAAGACCACAATCAAGCATAATATTTTTACCACCCATTGTGATAAGTATACAACTACGACCAACATCTTGACCAGCTCCTAATGGTAAAATACGTATCTCAGACATCTGAAATACAAGATATTTTATTTCATACTATTATGAAAAAACAATCTGCTAGTGTATTTCTAACTTTTCTATAAAGTTTTAATTAGATCATTTAATAGATTATCGTGAGAAACATAATCTTCAAAATATCTTTCAATCGTCAACCTAGATTCTTCTTGCCAAAGATCATCTATCTGTTACCTTTTAATAGTTAAGATATACACATGGATGAAATTCTTTCAATGACATAAGACAAATGATCTATTTGAAATAATTTTTCTTTATATATATATCAGTATTGTACTTCAAGTATAACTTCAATCAACTTATTTGCTCTGTAACTTCTAAAAATTATTGTCATGTAATATAAACATAAAATCCATAATATCCTATGGGTAGGATCATGAGGAAAAGGCTAGAATCTATTTATTTAAGGGATTTCGAAAGAAAAAAAAGAAGAAACAAAATTCAAGAGGCCAAATAAGTCAGTATGTGCGACTCTACATATTCCAAAGGTTTCGGAGTTTGACCAATGTAGGACGGTCATCGATAGCGTCCACACCCTAGAAAAGAAAAAATTTTTTTTTCTACAAATTCATCATGTATATTTTTAAATATACATACACGAGGATAATATTCATTTCCTGTAATACGTCGATCTCTTAAATACATATAATAATCTCGATCATCTTTCGTCATATTTTTTGGTCCATGTTTCTAATCGAATAAAGCAAAAGAAAATATTTAATAATTCAAGAATAAATAACAATGTCAAATTTACTTTTCCATTAAGAAAATACCAATTGCATACGTAGAGAGTAGGTGCCGCAACAACAAGAAGTGGAGCTGCGGTAATAAAAAGTGATGGAAGAATTTCAAACCAAACCATCTTTTATCTAGAAAAAGTCAGAAGACATTGAATCACAGTATAATAAGAAATATCAATGACTAAAAACAAAAAGAGTTCGCTTTTAATAATCATGACAATGATAATTAACACACTTTTTTTTTAAAGATATTGCTATATGACAAAATACAGATAATGAAAGAAAATTTTGTTTTTACAAGACCTGATATCATAAAATGTCTTACTTAAGTTGGATGAACACATATTAATACAGATAAATAACCAAAATTAGAAAACATATTTACTAATCTATATTTGATATTCGTTAATGTTATCAAGTTTTAATATAAAGTATTTTGTCGATAGAACATATTCGTTTTTAGTCATCTATAGAATAAGATAATCCAATATAATACTATATATATATATATCTGACATAAGATGAATGGGTTAAAACTAGAAGAATGGAAGTATAAGACAAAAAAAAAAGAGAAAACAACTAGATTAGAAAAGTCTTTGTCGTTTATCAGTGTTTGTTGAACTATTATTAGGTGATGGTAGAGTACGTTTGAAAGATGATGATGGTGAAGAAAATAATTGTTTTATAACACCACTAGCTTTTCGTGGTGTTATTGGTGGTTGATATTCTTCAGATACTGAAGTAGATGTTTGTTGTTTAGGAGAATCAACAAATAAACGACGTCGACCCTCTTTGAAATTAAAAACATAAATAGTATTCAATTTTGTTTAGTTTTAATTTTAAAAAATAATATGATTTAAAATCTCAACATACTTTCATGTGATTGTAATGATGAAAAAGGTTTTGATAATATTGGTTGAGATGCTGATCGTATATCATCTAGTTTAGGTGAATATTTTTGTGCTTCTCGTACAAAACGTCTTAAAACATAATTACAACGAGATACACGATTGACTACTTGAGAAAGATGAAGTGTAACTGGTTTATTTGGTTGATTTTCGAGAACAGGAACATTGTACACTTAAAAAGAAAAAAATTAAATTACAATTTATATTACTAAAATTCACAAGAATAATTTCACTAATTAAAATCTTACAAGGATTCGATGAGCGAAGACGTAGAGAAAGTCGTTGAATTTCACGTGCCATTATATCTGATGGCAACATATCATTTTCATCATCATCTTCTTTTACTGGAGTTTCTTCTATAAATTCATTTTCTTCTATTGTTTCTTGTGATGATGAAACTATACTAGAAGCATCGAAATCAAATGAAAGTTTTTTAATTGGGATTATTTTCACTGGTGTATTTTCGACATTTGCTGATGAAGGACTGAAAATATATTGAATTATTATTTTCAAAAATTCTATTCCAAAAATATTTTACTTTATTATGGGTAATGGTTTAAAACTGAGTGTACGATTAAGAGTTGCAGTAGTTGATGTTTTAACATTGATCATTTTACGATTTTTTGTTAATTCTTGTTGTAGTGAAGAAACATTTCGTTGAGAATAAGATCGCCGAGAGTTTGATGATGAAGATGATGTTCGATCCGAAATTAAATTGAATTTAAATCGATCAGCCATCTTTGTCTTAGAATTCACTAAACTGGATGTATCTATTTACAGGTGTTTTTCACGTCAAATCAAACAATTACATTGAGTAACAATAACGGAAATTTATTCCATTCTATTCATTCGATACAAACTAGTAGCAAATCAAACCAAAATTATACTAGATGTCGCTCCTGAATATGTCGAGAGAAATATTATCAATGATTACATATATGCATGGAGGATCAAACCAAATACTTTTGTTAAAATGCCATTGTAGTGTAGCGCCATCCTTTACGTAAAATTCATTCTCTCTAAAAATAAAATATCTAGCTGAATATACTCTTTGATTTACTAAATGTCTATTACAATTTCTTTTTCTGACGTTTTCATCAAATCCAGACGCTGCTTAACTAACGAGGGAACCTCCCGAGATGTAACCTTCTATTTTGATTCATTTATATCTTATTTAAGTGAACATATTGAGATAGTAAAAACTCTAAAAGGATTTGGGTTCCTGTTGCTGCTATCAAGAGTTACAATCGTTTTACTGAATTTTCAATTCATTCCTAGGTATTTACTGTAAAAAATAAAATTAGGGAATTTCGACCTGAAATTTTGCCTGCAAATAGGCCCAACGGTCCTTAAAATATCCTGAAAGTTTCAGCCAAAAAGAATATACCTTTCTCGAGATATTAATTTTTCGAGTGGACTCAGTTTTTGTGACGTATTTATGGCAAGCGACTATTTTTTGAAAAATCAATATCTCGAGAAAGGAACACTATTTTTGGCTGAAACTTTCAGGATATGTTAAGGACCATTGGACCTATTTATGGGCAAAATTTTAGGTTCAAATTCTCTAATTTTATTTTTACAGTAAATACCTAGGAATGGATAGAAAATTCAGTAAAACGGTCATAACTCTTGATAGAAGCAGCAGGAACCTAAATTCTTTTAGGATTTTTACTATCTCAATATGTTCACTTAAATGAGATATAAATGAATCAAAATGGGAGGTTACACCTCGGGAGGTTGCCTCGTAAGTTCGACGTTGAATTAAATTCTTTACAATGCTTTATGTTACTAGAACATGTACTAAACCTCAATAACGACAATTCCTATACTTCATCATCTATTGCTTACCTGACAAATGTATAATCTTCAACATAAGTCGATATTTATGGGCTCCGGAAACAGGCAGATTTCGCTGAATAGTTCCAAACGATATAGAAGAAAATCATTGTGTCCCACAATAGAACTTTGAATTTAGTTCGACCCGAAATACTGCGTCTAAGTTCTATCGACCTTCAAAGTTCTCCTACCGAAACTGACTGTACACGTTCATTGATGTATATTTTAATATATTTTCGTTTATAATTAATTCAAATAATATAGACATTTTTAACATTTAGTATAGATGATTGCCATATTATCTTCACTATTTGTACATGCTGATAATGAAACTATCTGCTAAACTTTCGTTCAATCATGAGAAATACGACTCAGCAAACGTGTCACTACAGAAATTACTAAAATATACTATTAGATTTAATTGCTATCCTGTTTGACGATGAAATATTTACACTAATTAATTTATATTAGATATATTCCTAAATTCTAGTACAATCTCATTGTTTTCACTTTCGTTTGTATGATACTACTTAGGGTATATCGCAGAAGTAGTGGCAGTGCAATTTTAGTACCTTATAGTAAACTTGAAAAAAACCTTCTTTTTATATAAAATGATAGTAAAAAATGCTCGTTGTTTCTGTGATANCTATCCTGTTTGACGATGAAATATTTACACTAATTAATTTATATTAGATATATTCCTAAATTCTAGTACAATCTCATTGTTTTCACTTTCGTTTGTATGATACTACTTAGGGTATATCGCAAAAGTAGTGGCAGTGCAATTTTAGTACCTTATAGTAAACTTGAAAAAAACCTTCTTTTTATATCAAATGATAGTAAAAAATGCTCGTTGTTTCTGTGATATTTGATTATACTTCACTTAATATCATAATAATAAATTTCGATAAGACCTGTTTTTCTATTATATGTGACGGTTATACTAATGTCAATTAGTTGATATTTTTTGAATAGCTTTTGATAGAAACAAGATATAGAGCTGTGTTTTTCATCGTTCGGAACAGAAGATGAAGATACATCGAATCATCTATTATATGGTTTCCTAAAATATTGTCTAATGCCTTTTTATTCAATTTTCTAAGTGTTTGGAAAATGGTTTCTTATCAAAAAGAAAGCAAGAAAAAAAAAATTTTTTTTGCAATAATTGCCACAAAATCACTTCTCAATGATTAATTCCAAACATTGATAGTTTTATTTTGAAAGCGATCGATTGAAAACAGTAAAATATGTCATGTTGAAAAAAAAAATAATACACGATCCGATACATCTTCATCTTCTCTTTCGAACGATAAAAACCATAGCTCTCTATGTTGTTTCTATAAAAGACTATTCAGAAAATATCAACTAAATAGGCATTAGTATAACCGTCACAAAGAGCAACTTTGTTACTATCATTGTATATAAAAAAGAAATTTTTCTTTTTAAAGCTTGCAATACTATACTAAAATGTTACTACCACTACTTTTGGTATGCCCTAAGTAGTATGCTATTCCTTTGTGCACCGCAATATGAAAACCATGTGACTTCTAGAGACGCCAGAAAAGAGAAACAAATGAAATCAGTATGATGAAACTTTCATATAGTTCATTGAACTATTATACGTAAGGACATTTTTATGTCTTTATTTTCAACATTACGATCTTTTGAATAATTTTCTCGTAATTCAATTAACAAACTTCAATATGTGACTGTAAAAGTAGTTCAAAGAAAAGTAAATATATTATCAAAACCAAAATGGACGAACAACGAACAACTTAATTTATCATAGACACAAAAGAAAACAACGAACAGTATGTCAAAATATAAAAGAAAATCTCACATACGTGCGCAAATGTTGGCATGCATCCATGTTTCGAGACTAGTTTATTATTGCCAAGTTTCTTTTTTACAAAGGCTTTTCTTCAAAGAGGAAATAACAAGGAAAATCACAAATTCTCCTGGAAAAATAAATAAATACAAGTATCACAAATTTCTTATGAAAAATAGTTGAACTCTGGCATAAATGGATGTGAGTGTGAAGAGTTTCTCAACCCACTCTCACATCCACACCCAAAATGATGAACTTAATCAACTATTACATCGAATAGCAAACAATACTAATAACACTACTCAAATATTAAAAACTATTTCATCTAGCTGTCGATTTTAGCTTTTTATCACAAGTATAAACTTCGATGTAAAACACATTAAAAAGCTGATGATAATTAACAGAAATGAATCTAATGGTGTGAAAAAACTGAAGTACGACAAGAAAACCATGGTCTTTGATATTTGATGATCAGTTAAGGTGTCTGAATTAAGTATACTTTTTATGTTACTCCTATTATAAATTGTTGTTTTTTTTTTTATTCAATTGA